TGGAGAGGAAATGTTTTGAGAATGATGAGGGCAATGAATGTACAAATGCGCTTTACACAATTGATGCATGTATGGACTGTGATAAGAGTTGTATGAGCCCCTAATAAAATGATTTAAAAAAAAGAATATTGAAAGTGCTATGGACTGCTTACAGGACAAACGTCTTGGAAGAAGAAAGGCCAGAGTGCTCCGTGGAGGCAAGGATGCCGAGACTTGCTCACATACTTTGGACATGTTGCTGGGAGGGACCAGTCCCTGGAGAGGACTATCATGCTTGGTAAAGGAGAGGGGGAGTGGAGGAAAAGAAGCTCTCAAGAAGATGGACGCCACAGTGGCTGCACCCCCGGGCTCAAGCATGGGAACCAGTGTGAGGATGGTGCAGGACCGGGCAGTGTTTCCTTCTGTCGTGCACAGAAGGCAATGGGTGGCACAGTCGCTATGGGTTGGAGCCGACACGATGGTACCTGACCACAGCAGCCATCAAGCGAGCTCTGACTCATAGTGACCCTAGCAAGGGTGTCTGAGACTGTAAATCCTCATGGGAGCAGACAGCCTCCTCGTTCTCCTGAGGAGTGCCTGGTGGATTTGAGCTTGGGACCTTGCAGTTAGCAGCCCAGCACCTAACCCATGGGACCACCAAGGGCTCCTTCATGCAATGACGAGAACATTTAAAATCATTCTAGAGTGCAGCATCTAGACCAGCAGTTCTTAATCTGTGGGTGGCGACCCCTCTGGGGGTTGAATGACCCTTTCACAGGGTCGCCTGATTCATAACAGTAGCAAAATGACAATATGAAGTAGCAATGAAAATAATGTTATGGTTGGGGATCACCACCACATGAGGAACTGTCTTAAAGGATCAGGAAGGTTGAGAACCACTGTTCTAGACCGTCTGGGTTTTCTCTGATGGTTAATGAGTCTTGAATGATCGTCCGTGCTTGTGACAGGTTTTAATCGACCAGAAAAGTTTGTGTTCATTAGCCAGGTGGTAGAGAGCTATTTTGTTTTGTTTTTTTTAAATTCAATTGCTTGTTTGGGGAGACTGGTAGGCTC